TCATTTTTGCAGAAAAATATTTATTATCTTATTGTAAAGTAAATTTTCAAATATTTTATAGAATTCAAATATATTTTAATATAAAATATATTTAGTGTAAACACACTCGCCCGTAGGGCGGGCTAACCACTAATCTATATTATAATAGTACACTTTCTAGGCTTCACAACACGCCACATCAGCAGTTTTATGGGTCCCGTAGGTATTTTAAAAAATTTATAGTCTTGGTAAGATGATTACAAACAATGAAATACACTTTAGCCAAGTGGTATAAGGTGTCTAATTAAACATGCAAGATCGTGGGTTCAAACCACGCATCCATCATTTATTTTTGATTTTTTTATTTGGGTTATTATCATATGGGGTTTTTTTTTGTAAGGTTTTTATGTTTTTTTTATGACTTATTGTTTTAAAGATCAAAATAGTTGGATAAACCTTAAAGCTTAACGAGTTCAAACCAAAAATAGTTAAAAATGGATGCAAAAACGAACAATTAAAAAAACAAAAACAAAAAGCAAGTCTCACGAGGTTGCCTACGCGGATGGCTTAAAGAGCCTTAAAACTATCCTATTATAATATAATTCAACCCAAAAATAATAAAAAATGAATCCAAAAACGAACCAAAAAAAAAAAGTGAATCCCACGCGGCTACCTACGTGGATGGCTTAATGAGGCTTGAATAATATAGAGTAAGAGCTCAAAAAGTGAAATCATTGCACATATTTCCTAATATATATTTTCAAAAAATTTGTATGTGAGATAAAATAAAAAAACAACAAAAATTAATTATTTTTATTTATTTAATGAATATGTAATTTCGCTTACATTTTAATAACTACTATAATTTCATTGAAAACATTCCTCACCACCGATTTCAGACTCCGGCAAATGGATTCCCACAGTCGATGACCCCGTAAATAAAAATGCCACATCATTTATGAACAAAACTCAAACTTACAAAAAAAAACATATATAAAAACCTATCTAATGAAACTTAAACAACGAATGTTAACTTAATTAAGGTCATTTTAAAATTGATAAATCGTTTAATAAAAATATAAATACTATAAATATAGAATTATATCAAGTTTTGACCTACGATATAAAAACTATTTACAGCAAAAAAAAACACATACTTTTACACACTAAAAACTATATTATAGCCTAACTATTCCTATAAACCTTACTTCGCATATAAATAACATTTCACTCATTCCTAAATATATTTTCAAAAAATTTGTAAGTGAAATAAAATAAAATAAACAACAAAATTTAAGTATTTTTCGTTATTTATTAAATGAATATGTAATTTCTCTTACATTTTAAAAACTACTATAATTTCATTGAAAACATTCTTCACCATTGACTCCAGACTTCGGCGAATGGATTCCACAGTCGATGACGCCGTAGATAAAAATGCCACATCATTTATGAACAAAACCCAAACTTACAAAAAATCATATATAAAAATCTATCTAATGAAACTTAAACAACGAATATTAACTTAATTAAGGTTATTTTTAAATTGATAAATCTTTTAATACAAATATAAATACTATAAATATAGAATTATATCAAGTTTTGACATACGATATAAAAACTATTTACAGCAAAAAAAAAAAAAAATAGACACCTACTTTTACACACTAAAAATTATATTACAACCTAACTGTTCCTATAAACCTTACTTCACATATATATAACATTTAACGCATTAGATATACAATATTTTCACTTTACACTCTTACTACATTCTTTCCATTTCATTATTATTTGGTGTCATTAGAAGAATCCACTAAACCACTAAATCGAAAAAAATATACGCAAACATAATGATTCCGTCCCTGCGCTTGCGCGGGTAGTATGCAACTAGTATGTATATATACATTAGTTTTCTAAAAAATGCAGAGGTCAAAGGCAAATGTTAAGGTGATCGGATCAGATTCATCATGTAAGTTGGTTTGTGGATCAGATAGATAAGCCCATAACCAGAAAACCCCATTGAAAGCCCAATAAAAAAACTCTGACATATGTTAGCATCTCATGAAAACATAAACAATCTCACTTCCATCTGCTTACACTACTCTGTGTTTCGATTGAGAAGAAGAGATCACGAAGATGGCGAGATCAACCTCCATTCTCTTCCTCACGCTACTCCTATTCGCTGCTCTGGCTTCAATCCAGGTAATTAGTTTCTATCCTCCCGATGCTGGATCTGGTCAACGTTTCGTGAGATTGAATCTAAACCACGATGATCCAGATCCACAACTATGATTGCATCAGATCGTAACTAGTAATTTATAGTTTTAAGTTGTGTATTGCGGTAGTCTTGTAGTTGAATCTAATCAAACGCATCCTTGGATTTGTGTGATGTGTGGGGGTTTGTTTATTAGGCAAAGGAAGATTTGAAGGAGATCACTCACAAAGTTTACTTCGATGTTGAGATTGACGGCAAAGAAGCTGGTACGTATGAATGAGTCTTTTTTGTTAAAAAAATGTCTGTTCACCACTTTAGATGCATCTGATTCTGGTTTCTTTGATTCCCTGCTTACAGGTCGAGTTGTTATTGGCCTATTCGGCAAGACTGTTCCCAAAACTGCAGGTATAAATAATTACAAGGTTCTTTATCATGACCTTTGTTTTATAAATCCAAGAGAATGAATAATCCATGAGTGTGTTTCCCTTCTTGCAGAAAACTTCAGAGCTCTTTGCACTGGTAAGCAATTATATTCTTTATTACAAAGAGTGTACCATTTTTTGCAAGTCTGTCATATGATTTGTGATCATACTTGGGGATGTGTTTCATGATGTTGGATGGATACAGGGGAGAAAGGTGTTGGGAAGAGCGGGAAACCTCTACACTACAAGGGGAGCAAGTTCCATAGAATCATTCCTAGTTTTATGATTCAGGGTGGTGACTTCACCCACGGTAACGGTATGGGTGGAGAATCCATCTATGGTCAGAAGTTTGCTGATGAGAACTTCAAGCTCAAGCATACCGGACCAGGTCATTGTTTATTTATTTCCCTTAAGCCAAGTTTAGCAATAGCATATAGAAAATGTGTCATGAAAGGCTGATATGATGGTTTAAAATGTGAATGGAAACAGGTTTGCTTTCGATGGCAAACTCTGGAGAGGACACAAACGGTTCGCAGTTTTTCATCACGACGGTGACAACAAGCTGGTTAGATGGAAGGCATGTGGTGTTTGGGAAAGTGGTGCAAGGGATGGATGTTGTCTACAAGATTGAAGCTGAGGGGAAGCAAAGTGGAACTCCTAAGAGCAACGTTGTTATTGCAGACAGTGGGGAGCTTCCTCTCTAAAAACACCCTAAGAACTTGTTCTTCTTCTTCTTCTTCTTCATGAAGAGTTAGGGTTTTAAAGTTGTTCTATACTATAAACACGCTTCAAATGCTATCCACCGAAACAAAATAACTCGAGACTTTTGAGTTTGTTTTTTATGTGAGATTTGTCTTTCTTCTCCACTTATGATGGAAAATTATAAACCCTTTTTTTTTTTTTTTTGAATGAATGTAAAATTTTATTCAAACAAAAGTCATGGTTACATCAAGTGCAAATGATTTTGAGCATCTAAAAAGAAAATTGCAAACCCACTTTAAAGTTGTTTTATACTATTAACCACATCAAAGACTGCGAAGATTCCACGTGTATGAATGTGAAGTGGATTCTTTTGCAAGAGTTAGGGTTTTACAATTTGCAAAAGAATCCACTTCACATTCATTGCTTACTGTCATTGATGGACGTTCTCTCTGTGAGCTCGGAACATCATGATCAGGACTTAGCAATAGAACAAACCAGATCCATCTTTCTGGTGCAACTTATTTTTCTAAGAGTCAGTTCAATCCTTAATACATGCAAACAAACAACGAACCATGGAAATGTATTATCAATCAATAACAGTAGTGATGCTATACGAATGATTCATGCAAAATCCAGAGCTTAATCAGTGTACAAAACTGGAAAAGCAACACTGAAGAACCTTAAACAGAGCAAAACATATTTCTTATATTTTTGTGTTTATCTTTCTGTCAAATTTAGCAAAACTAAATCTAAATCTATGTGTGATATAGAAAAGAATCCTAACAACTTTTTTTTTTGTTTTAGAATCCTAACTACTTGCATACAGAGCCGGCCCTGGGGCATGCGTAATGAAACATTTGTCTCAGTCTCCCAAAAATTTTGAAAAAAACTACATGTGTACAGGCACCCAAAAAATTTTTTTAGACCCTCAAAATTTTTTTTCTCATAAAAATCGTCATAGTCCCCCAAAATCTCAGAGCCGGTCCTACTTGCATAAAGGGAAGCAGTGAAGGAGCAAAACAGGATCGTAAGAAAGTAATCTGTTGTGTGTTTCTTCTATCTGTTTTCTCTAAAAATTGAGGTATTTGGTTGAACGTGAGAAGAAGAGAGCGCACAAGAATAGCAACAGACACACCCATCACTTCTGGTTTGAAGCCTAAGTACCGTTCTTCATTGACCGTAACATTGGCTCATCGATCATTCTCTCCACGTCCCCAAGCTGTGACAGAAGTGTCCACGCCACAGGATAAATATATCATAACCATATGCACCACTGTAAATTGTAATCAACTGAACAACAACACAATAAAAAAGTGTATTTGTAAGATTGTGCTAAACAAGGAAATTCTCAAAATGCTATATGACCCATCAATCTATACATATCTAACAACATTTCTATCTAAATAGAAATAATTATATAATATAAAAATACCACGTCATTATTGGTGAACCGCTGCGTTCTATCCCTCTCTCTTGAAATCAATCCCTCGTCAATTAATTCTGCTCAACCGAAGCAAGGCTACTTCGTGTTTCATCGTTAGGTTGAATTTCTCATGGCTGTTATAATCTCATATCATCCCTCTTCCTTGTCTTAGTTTACGATTGAGGAGAAAAATATCTAAACTTGTGACCTTAATCGAGTTTCTTGTTAGATAGGTTCATTTAAAAAACCCTAATCCATGTCTGCTGCACAAAGAGTCTCTCCTGGTTCTAGAGATTCCATCAGCAGCCTCCCAGATGAAGTCCTCGGAAAAATCCTTTCCTTTCTCCCGACAAGACTTGCTGCTTCCACATCAGTTCTGTCCAAACGGTGGAGAAACCTTCTCTCCCTCGTAGACAACCTTGATCTAACCGACGCAAGTGGTGGTGACCCTCGTGGCTTCTCTACTTTCGTGGACACAACACTCACTCTCTTAAACACCTCTTCAATCATCAAAAGATTCTCTCTTTATTGTGAACACACACACGACAAAACCAAAGTAGACACTTGGATTCGCACTGTCCTTGACCGAAGAAGCTTCTCGGAGCTTCACTTGGACAGCGCATGTTTGCATCTTATAAAAGCGGAGTCTTTCACTAGCAAAACGCTGGTTAACCTCACTTTATCAAATGGGTTTTATCTCTCTGGTTTTCCTCCTCCTCTTGGTGGTGGCGTGTTTTTCCCGAAGCTCAAAACACTTTCTCTCCTTTCGGTTGGGTTTGAAACTTGGGAGGTGTATGAATATCTCATCACTGGCTGCCCTCTGCTTGAGGAGTTATCTATCCGCTATGGTTCTCCCTCGGCTTGTAGGTGGATGGTAGTGACTCAGTCCAGGGCTGTGGAGAGTGCTTCTGTTAAGAGACTGACTATCTCTTACCCTTTTCGTGGTTACTGTTTGCCTTACGCTGGTGGGGTGTTTCGGACACCGAGTCTTGTCTACCTTGACCTTTCTGGTTATGTCGCGGGGTATTATTATGTTGATTTCAGCTCGCTTGTTGAAGCTAGAATGGATATTAGACAGACGGTGGACGAGGATGGTGTTGATGAGGATTCTAGTAACGGTGGTGAGTGGGGTGAGGATGTTTATGATGATGAAGATGACAGTTGCTTTGATGAGGGTGATGATGGTGATGATGATCATCATCATCATGTTTTTGGTGAGGATAATGATATACATGATGATGATGATGATGAGCATAATGATTATGCTGATGATGAGGATATTGTTTTTGGTGTGGATGATGATGATATACATGATGATGATGATGATAGTGATGGTGATGGAGAGGATAATTTGCCTGATGTTGCAAATCTGGTTGCAGGGATAAGCAACGTTAAAACTCTTCACTTGTCTCCTTATTCTCTTGAGGTCAGCTTTGCTACTTCTTTTATTGATTGCTTTCAGTTTTCAGATCTAATGTTTACTTAAATCTCAAAATCTTATGTTTTGTTTGGTTTTTGGTGTAAAAAATAAATCTCCAGGTGTTTCACATTTACTGTAAATCAATGCCTGTGTTTCACAAGCTCCTTACTTTGTCTTTTGAGAGTAACAAAGAAAAAGGCTGGCAAGTGGTGCCACTTCTTCTCAATAACTCTCCAAACCTAGAAACTTTAGTCATCAAGGTAAACTAAATACCAATTTCCAGATTTGTTTGATTGCTAGATGGTTGTTATACTTGAGTTTTGCTTTTTTAGGGTCTTGTGCACCAAGTTACTGATAAATGCGGGGACGCCTGCGTTTGCATATCTAAGAAAAAGAAGAAGAGGATGGAGGAGGAAGAAGTATGTTGTTTATCGACATGTCAAGTGAAAGTCCTGAAGATTTCTGGTTACGGAGGAACTCGGAGAGAGCGGAAACAGATGAGGCATTTCTTGAGAAATATGAAATGTCTTGAAACTGTCAAGGTTGGTCTTGAAGCTCAGTACCACCAAGAAGCCAACAATGTTAACAGTAACTACCAGAGAATCACCAATGCTCTTACTAAGCTTCCCAGAGCTTCATCAAATTGTCAAATCCATTTCTTTTGATTTCCCTCTTAGGAACCAAATCTTCTTTTAGAAGAGAAACTCTACCTTTTGTACTTAGGATAATCAAGATCTTACTCTTTGCTATTTTATTTAAAAAAAAACAAATAAAACTGTACCCAATCGTTTACAACAAAAAGCACGCTTTTGCACTTTCAACAATCTCTTAAAACATAACAAGGTTAGAAGAACACTGCACAACAAAAACCTCTAAAAACAACCTCGCCAAAAAGTAAAACACAACACCCAACAAGATCGAGACAGGAAGAGCCGGTAAAGCCTTCTGATACACAGACAAGAGCATCAACGTAACCCCTAAACCAGCAATAATAGCCAAATAACAAGCGTAAACCGTCATCAAATCATACATGGCAGCTCTCCCAACCAAAACACTATAGAATATAAAATCCCCAAGCCCTAACTTAATAGCACCCGATGACCCCAACCCAATCCCTTCAAGAAAAGTCTCTGAACTCTCCTCAGCTCTACTCCTCTCAATCAACGGTACAGATACAGATACCTCCTCCTCTGCTCTAACCACCGTAACAACCTCATTATTCTCCACGTCATCACTACTATTACTAGGTCTCTGTTCTCTCCAAACCCTCCTCTGAACCAAACGCGAGTCATGATGATTCCGAATCACGGGCCTCGCCTCGTAGACAAGAGCAGGTATATCTTCGTCCCTAGAAATCGCCATTTCGACAAGAAGACGCAACGGACCAACGGGTAAAAGAACAGCAGCGAGGTCGTAAACCGCCAACGCGACAAGAAGCACCCAAGTAGTCCACTCAGGTAACATAGTGAAAAAGTACGCAACCAAAACACCAATCACAACCAGATAACCCTGAGTGATCAAAATCGAGAACCTCGACATGAACACGGCGAAAACCCCCACGACGGAGAAGTTAAACAGAAGAATCAAGAAAGTGACGGAATCGATTGGGAACCTGAACCGATCGATCAAAAGGATTAAAATTTCTCCGCCGAGGTTGGCTAAGACGACGAAGGCGGAGAAAGCCATGTAGAGTTTGAGGAAGTTGAGGCAACGGAGGTAGAAGAGGAGGACGAGGAGGAAGGTGGCGAGGGTGATGGCGGCGACGAAGACGAGGGAGTTGAGGAAGGCGCCGAGGAGTTTGGCCCAGGGGGAGTCGGAGTCGGATTCGGAGTAGGCGGCGGTGGCGATGGAGGAGAAGGAGGCGGAGGAGGGGGAGGAGGGGTCGGAGTTTAGGAGGCAGACGAGGAGGACGACGGTGAACATGCAGATGGAGACGGGAGTGAGGATTCCGATTAGTTCTTCGCCTAAGGTGTCGAGGATGCTTCTCGCTCTTTGTTCGGTTCGATCCATTTTTTGGGTATGGTCAAATTGGAGGATGGAGGTTGAAGAAGAAGAAGCAAAGGGCGAGACTTTTTTTTTCAGATTCCGATGAGCTTTTCAAGTCGCAACACCAATACGACGTCGTTTGCGGTTAGGCCTGGAGAAAAAAAAACAGAACGGAATTCGCAATAAATTTGGATTAAAAAAAATATCGTAGATAGAGTTTACGAATCTTGGAATCTATAACATTATTTGAGAAGTAAATTTGCTTAGTTGTCAACTTCTCTATAATTTTAGGTTATTTTTCTTATTTTCATATTTTAATAATCTATAACATTATTTGAGAAATAAATTTGCTTAGTTGTCAACTTCTCTATGATTTTAGGTTATTTTCTTATTTTAAGTAAATTTTCTTATTTTTTTTAACATAAATTCGTTTTTATTATATAATAAATTATTAAAACATGAAAATAAGAAAAAAATTATTATAAACAAAATATGACATAATAAGAAAAGAATAATTATTTCTTATTAAATTTTAAATAAGAAATAATTATTTAAATAAGGTAAAACACTAAAAGAATATAATAAGAAAATATAATAAATAATATTATAAAATTATATAATATAATTGGATCTTATTTTATGTTTATTTTTCTTAAACGAATATAATAAGAAAAGAATAAAGTAAGAGAGATGACATAATTAGAGGAGAGAGGTGAAGTACTCTTGTGGAGAGACGTCTTTGAGTTTGGGAGAAACCCATTTAATACATGTCTTATCTTATTAGTTTAAAAATAAGGTAAAAATAAAAACTAAGAAACAATTTTTAATTGGTTGAGAGACTGTGTGGAAGCACTTTAGACTATTGATTAAGGTTTAAAGTCTTCGATCTCCAGGTATGGGGTTTAAATTCCAAACTATGCAATTTCTTACAAATTATAGAATGCAATTTTTTTCGGAGTTCTAAAGTATTGTAGGCAAAGCCATTCGTTGTGGTCATTTGTTGCTGAGAAAGCATGTTCATCAGAGATGTCGTACATGCATAACCGTCCGTCGATCCAAATTGTTTCAGACAGAGCTTCATCGTGGAATCATTATTTGTGGAATTGTTCATCAATATTACATATGTTGCAGGTAGTTGATTATAATATCTAATAGAATTTAGAGATTATATGATGATGTAATGTGTGCTACTCAGTATTAAAGAAAAATTGGTTGAGAGACTTTAGCTAGTTACCTATCACTACTGATGCTTTTAGACCATCATTATCCCAACACCCTCTAATGGGGGTGCTTAAATTTTTTTTCTGATTAAAAAAATTGAGAAAAAGAACTAATCGCGGACTGTCACGTGTCGTGGGATCTTATTTAAAATTAATTATGTTTATTTTAAATCATTATTAATGACAAAACTCAAACTTCAGAAAACACTAAAAGAATATATTTCTATAATTATTTTGCTTGATTTATATTTAATTATAATATTTATACAAATTTTTTTACTTAATTTATATTTAATTGTAATTGTTATATCTTAATTTTAATTTTATAATAGAAAACATATTTTAAAGATAACAATATAATGCATAAGTTATTTATTTTATAAAAATATAATATGATATTTTTTAATTATATAAGATTATAAAATTAAGACATATAATTAAAATTATCTAAAATCATGGAGAACTTAATGAATCAACAAATTCACTTCTTAAATAACTTTTCGTGGGTGATAATTTATATTTTACTTTTAAATTATATAATATAAAATTATGTTTTCAATGTATATTTTAAATATTTTTTGTCATCTAATTATATAATAACACTATTAATATTTTTTAAAAATATATATTAAATTATATATAAAATTATAGAAATGATAAAAATTACCTAAAAATCATGGAAAATACGACAAATCAGCAAACATCAAATTTACTTCTTAAATAATAGTATAGATTTTTATGTGTTATTTTTAAATTTTATAACAGAAAAATATATTTTCAAGATAACATCATAATGCATAAGAACTAATTTATTTTCTAAATATCATATTATTAAAATAAATAAATTTTAATTATATAATCAATAAGAAACCAAATAAGAGAAATTTCTGATAAATGATCAAAATTACCTAGGATCATGGAGACAAATCAACAAATTCACTTTCAAAATAATTGTTTTGATGATTTATATTTAATTATTAATAATATAATTTTTATATATTAACTAAGTTTTATAATATGAAAATAGATTTTCAACATAACAATATAAATTTAAGTGAATTGTTGATTAATTTGTAACTTTCAAGTTGAAAGTTAGAGTGGTTAATATCCTTTATATCCTTAATGAATAATTAAATTTTTTAATATAATTAAATATAAATAAAAACGAATTTCAATGATTTTAGATTTATCTTTATCTAAAACTATTTTATATTGGGTTACAAAGTCTTAATTAACCTTGAAAAATAATTATATTAGTTAATATATAATTAATATAAATTAAAAACGAATTTTATTTATTTGATAATTATCCTTATTTTAATTTTTTATATTATGGGATAAAGTCTTTGTTTTGAAAAATAATTATATTTGTTAACATATAATTAATTCTAAATTAAAAAATGAATCTCATGAATTTGAATATATATTATTCAAATTATAAAAGATAAATTCTCTCCTCTAATTATGTCATCTCTCTAATTATTTCACGTTTTTATTATATAATAAAAACGAATTTATGTTAATAGTATTATATTTTTAGAAAATATGTTAATTCTTTTGTATTAGATTGTTATCTTAAAAATATATTTTTAATCTATAACATTATTTGAGAAGTAAATTTGCTTGGTTATCAATTTCTCCATGATTTTAGGTTATTTTTCTTATTTTCATGTTTTAATAATTTATTATAAAATAAAAACGAATTTATGTTAATATCGTTTAAAAATAAATAAAAAGGAATTTCAATGATTTTAGATTTATCTTTATCTGAAACTATTTTATATTGGGTTATAAAGTCTTTATTAACCTTGAAAAACAATTATGTTAGTTAATATATAATTAATTATAAATTAAAAAACGAATTTCATTTATTTGATAATTATCCTTATTTTAATTTTTTTCTATTATGGGATAAAATCTTTATTTTGAAAAATAATTATATTTGTTAACATATAATTAATTCTAAATTAAAAAATAAATCTCATGAATTTGATAATTATCTTTACCTAATTTTTTTATATTGTGTTATAATGTCTTTATTAACGTTGAAAACTAATTCTATTTGTTAATATATAGTTAATTATGAAAAATCAATTCACAAAAAATTTATGTATAGATAATTTATATTGTGTTATCCAAAACATTATTAAAGATAATTTTTATACTTTTTTGTTATGTCTAAAAATGATATTAATTTATTACTAAATGTTTTATATGATGAGGAAAAAATTTATATATAGAAAGAATTTGTTTAGTTTATCCCCTATATATTAATTGAGAAACATTTGAAAAGATGTAACCTCAAGTTTGTATTAATTAAAAAGTAACCTTGCTTAGTTGTCAATCAATTAGCATATCAATTAAACTGACGTGGCGGCTTTAGGTTCAATTGAAATTTGCTAGGGAAAAATAATTAGAGACGCATATAACGCATGTAACATAATATATATATTTATTTATATATATCGCACGCATGTAATGGAAGAAAAGGAAAATATATGATTTGATAACGATTTGCATATATTAACTATAATAACTTCATTCCTTTTAATTTATGGAAGTGTATATGTAAAATGGAAAATACTTAAATTCAAATAATCATAACGTAATTTATAAATCATTGGTGTAAAGTTTTGTTACACAAATATGCAAATAATCATAAAAT